TTATTATTATTTGGAGGGACAGGCTGTCAAAATGGCTTAGATGAAAGAAACAGTATTTAAACAGCAGGTTAAAGTGTGAATATGTAAAAAATAAAGCAGCTTTGTTTGCTCTGCAGGACCATTCAAGCAGAAATATGTACGACACAAAAGGCAAAAAAGTAAGACACGTTCTTTGAAAATAACATTTTAAAAAAGCTGTACTGTAATACATTACATTGATAAACACTCACTGTTGCCATTTCTTCATGACAATTGATGTTTTGTACAAGAGAAACAAATGTTTGCTTGCAAAAATCAGTGCCCTCTTCATGGCGTATGAACATATATTGGATGGATGTCAAAAAGTAATCAAAAAGGCAAAAAGCGAATAATACATTTCCGATGTGCACGCTGCACTTTTTCAAAGTATACAATTAATTAGAACAAGTTTTAACAAACAGGACCTGCATGCATAACTTCTAAAGGGTCCAGAAAGGCTGTTGAAACAGTTGTAGAAAGGGTGAGATATGTACATCAACTCTCTAGTGTCCCTCAAACACAGGTGACGACACAGTCACCGCTGAAATGTTCTGTTGTGTAGATAATGAGGCAACTCTTCAATTTTCAGGGTTTGTGTGCACGATAAAAATTGTATAATATATGCAGTTTTTATCCACAAAACCCTTTTACATGTGTTATTTATAACATGTCGTAACCCAAGTCACAGACTTCCAATATAATCCAGAGTACAATCAAATTGATCTTTGCAATTTACTCAGTTTTAGTGGCATTTCGCTAAATTATCTAACCATTAGACTGCCTATGAAAAATACTTCAGAATGCTAGAGAGCAATAACCTTCATAAGTATACATTTCTCTATAATTCATATATTACAAAGGTCTTCCCGGATTGAAAATTACTCACTTTTGCTTTCTTAATAAAATATTCAATTTGTCAGTGATTAGAATTCTTTTGTCAATCTACATAAATTAGTTACAAAATATTAGTGTAATTTTCTATGGTTACATTATAGGCAACAATACAATAGACCCATAATTTAGTTTCAGTGATTAGGGAGATTCCACAGTTTTCAGTCCCAAAGCTTAATGGAAGCACTGTGCACACACCACTGGCAAGCATGGCTCCCCTGATAAGCAGGCACATCCAGTAAACTTCCCAACAGCCCATTTTATTGCCAAAACGTCTTAAATTAAATAGCTAATAATGAAAATAATGACATAATAAGTTACCAAAAAATGTTAAATGTATAAGAGAATAGATATTAAATACTTTCTGATGGACTTGTGGTCCCATTTCCCATAACGATGCCTAACACATGATATGGAAAAAGGGAAGGAAGATTGCACTTTCGGGTGAGAAATATCATACCACAGTGCTTCTCAAGCGAAAGTAGGCTTTATCTGAAATAAATAAAATTAAATCGTAAGAGGAAATAATTTAAAACAAAAAGAAATAAAGATAATACAGCTAAAGATTTGAATGGTATGAGCCATCACTTCTAGATACCAAGCTCATAAATAAGAAACTCCGTTAATTTAGCGTTGAACTGTTGAATCGACCCCATACAACCAAAACAATGCCTATTCATACATAACTATTTTCACAGATAAAGTGCTGATCAAGAGACTTTTAGAGGGATTTTCTTTTGTACCATATAAGACCCCGTTGGGAGAGATCTTGAGGAGAAGAGTCCACTAGCTACAGGATGCAACACAGGGAGGACCCCCACCCACTCAAGTCGTCTGGGTGTCGGACATGAACAGTTGTGATCAGACTCGGGTTTCATATGAAGGCCATCACAGCAATGGTCACCATACATTGCCTCCAAAAGCTAGAAAGCTAGAAAAAAATCCCTGAGGTGCACATTCAGCTGTGTTGAGATACCCAACCTGGCCCCGTTAAAGGTTGATTCCCGTTTAGCATATGGTTGGTGATCTTGGTTTGGTTTAAAGAGCTTTCTTAGGAATTGAGAGCCATCATTGGTTTCTGTGGGCCCGATCAAATTGATCTGTTTCTTATCTTTTTTTTTTACTCTTAACACTAGCTGCCATCTCACACAGCATTAATCCCAAACTGCTTTGCTAACGTTTTGAAGGCAAGTCTGGAATTTGAACATTTATTAGGCAAGAGGGAAATCACAGCTTCCTCTAAAAAAATCAAACATGTGTGACGTTGACATCTTATGTGCATGTTCAGTCCCCTCCCGAACTCATTTTTTTTCCCTCGCACTGTCCAAAGATTTGCATGTTTCGTCAAACTTTCACAGACTCCATCACAGACAATTTCATGGCTTCCTCCAACAGCTGATTGTCTGTAAATGTGGCGGGGGGCTCTGGGACCGACTCTGAAAGGCCCATCAGCGACTCCAGGAGGCAGGTGCCGGGGTCGCTCGCCGCAGGGAAGCTGGGATAACTAGGCAACTGAAACTGAAAAAAGTTGTCCATGTGTTCGTACTCCTTGAGGGAGTTGTAGAGCGAGCTGGACCCCAAGCACGGGAAGCCGTCAAAGAACTCTAGATCTGACTCCGAGGAGAGGCTCAGGTCCATGTTATAGCTCGCAGAGCGGTCGATGGTGGGGGATGGTGTGTGTGGCACACTACTGCTATGGAACAGGGCGTTTCCCTGGTTGGCGTTCTCATCCAAAAGTTCTGAAATGGCTGTTGCTCGATTGTCTGTGTGATCGTCTGCGGCGTTCAACAGTGCAGCATCTATATTGTCGTTCTCGTCAGCAAAGTCCACCATGCTAAAGCTACTAAATGCTTCTGTAGACGGTTGCAGTTGCTCTTGCCGTTGATCTGAGCAGCAAGTGTCTTTACTGTTCTTATCCCCACAGTCCCTGCAACTTTTCGAGCAGTTCTCTACATCGCTGAAGCTGAGGATGCGGCTCAGGCCTTTCTCATCGACGTCCAGCTGGGTCCGATGCTCACACGGGCTCCTGCCTGCTTCGGAGTCCTCGCTCTGACCCGATGAGTCTGATAAGTCCGTCATATCGCTGCTGCAGCTGTTCTCTCCAGCTGCCGTCAGTTCTGAGCTAAAGGGGAAGGAGGGCACTGGTATGGAGGTGGCCACTTTTGTGTTCTCCTCCTCCTCCTCGGTGCTCGACTGCTCCTCCAGCCTCTTCTCCAGCTCCAGCTTCATGATAGTGTGAATGTAATGTGTCTGTACCCTGGTGGAGTTGAACTCAATGCGACCCTCTGTGTTCCCACAGCCGTCCTTGGTGCAGCCACATGGGAAAGAGGAATGATCCATCTGTAGGAAGCAGAAGCAGAATTCATTGTCAAATACATGTAACATAACCGCTAGCTGTATTGTGTTTGGATCTTCTTATTATTGAATCTCTACATCCAACTGAGCATATAGATTTCAGGGGTTTTCAGCTCTTACCTGACATTTGATGCCTGCAAGGCTGCAGCTACATGTCTCAGGCTCACAAAAGCCCTGGCAGTCGCAGCCACAGTTTTCCCTGGAGATCCTTAGCTCGTGCAGCTGCCTCTTCTCCTCCTTGTCGATCTTCTTCACACCGGCAGCTTTGAGCAGGGCATAGCGGCGTTTAGACGGGTAAGGCTGGAGGAAAGAGCCCTCGTCGAGATTGGCTCCATTGATTTCGATGTCCTGCTCAGGGATGTCGTCCACCGTCAGCCGCTCCGCCTCCTCACTCTCCTGGGTTCCATTCTTAGTCAGCTGGAGAGAACAAATGGAGCATGTTTAATTACATTGGATAACAGATTGATTTGGGTTTTATAGATCGCATCCTTAAGTTAAAAAGGCCAACTTTGCTAACCTTGAATTTGAGAGCATCCAGCTTCTCCTCCCTGAGTCTGTTGAGGAATTTCTCCCGACGTAGGAGCCGCTGCTCCACTGCGAACTCTGCGAGCGTGTACGTGCGGAGTGCGCTGTGACGCTGCATCATGCCTAAAGTACATCCTCCTCGACTGGGAACACTGGTGAAGCCCTGGCACCGAGGGAAGAAGAACACCGTCACCTGGTCGAAGGTCACATTGCCGCGCCGTGGTCTCTTGGCTTTCTTAAGAATGGATGTTGCTGTGAATGGAGGAAACATACATTTTAAATACATCTTGTTGAGTAGGAGGGAAGTTGTTGCCTTCTTTTGAAATGCAGAGACTCTTTTTATGTGCCACTAGATGGCATAATGCCCCATCGCTTGGGTGTGCAAGCAGGCTGCACAGGCTGTAAAAGGACACCCCTCTGATTCATTGCCCTGGTCCTCAACCGAGCCTTATCATGTACCCAATTAAAAGACACTGCTCACTGGAGGCCAACACACTGACATCCTGTACAGTGAAACCTAAACTTCCAAGAATCCTTTCAGCTTTGTTTCTTGTCCCACCGTGCAACAAAAAAAACCCAGCCCTGGAATTTTCCTCCGGTGGCCAACACAGTGGAGGAAGCAGATCACAGACCAGTGAGTGAATGCTTGAGGCTTCCGGAAGGGGCGGCGGGTGGAAGCACAGCTCTCAGGGCAGGAATAAAAACCACCGACCCTGCTCGCTGACAATCCCCACAAATGGTCCAATAACTGACAGGAGTCAAAGGTCCTCTCTCTGTTAAACACATTCAGGACCAGCCGTGTTCCTATACCCAGACAAATACAATAAAACCATATGGGAATCAGAGTGGAACCATATGTGGGAACAAGCCCAACAATTATTTAAGCTTTATTATAAATTCCACTTCGTCTGCCCAGAATATTCAACACGACTTCTGAGCCTTTCTTACAGACTAGAGACTTTTTCCTCTGCTTAAACCGCCAGAACCAATGTTTTCTTTGTCTTTTTGTGTGTGTGGGAACAGAAAAAGATGATAATACTCAGCATGTGTTGGGCATTACCTTTATCGTGTGGTGGGAAACTTCATGTTCTCAGTCAGCGATCTTTCCTATATGACACACCCTGAACATCTGCCCTCAAAAGTCAAATGGGGAAAATCTCACACTTTTTCGAGATAAGTGAAGCTCAGGAACAAGAATCACACAGCAGCAGTTTAATCTGCCGCTATAGGGGTGATGCAGATGAAATAAAGTGCCAGGTTCAGCTTCACATCCATCATATCCAGTCAGGCTTATGACACCAGCAGAAGACAAATGACAGCTTCTTCACCACATCTAAATGGGATGTCTTTTCTGGCAATTTTTACTCCTCCACTTCACAATGGCAAACAACTTTCTGTCCAACACTAACACTGGATTATAATACCCCACCCGATCGGCTCTTGTAGATGGTGTCTGTGTGCCTTCTTTTCTTGATTGTCCTGCCCCTCTCTTTTTTATCCCTTCACTCAGCCTTTTTCAGCACCTGTGCTGGGAGCATGCCCAGGCCTCAGACAAGGCTCTGTGTGTTTCCAGCATTGGCCAGCTGCCACACTTCTCTTCCTGGCTCCCTGCCCCACGATCCTGGAAACCTCACAACTGTTTGCCCTTCTCTCCTCCGACACTACAATCCCTCTCCGACTTGCCCGGGTCCCCTACAGGCCGGCCGCCAGGTCCAGACAGAAACACCCCGAAGCTGCTAGACCCACAATTATGTAGGTAGGGTGAGACATGGTTGGTGTGCAAGGTTCTGGGAAGAAGGTGGAGCCAAGGTGAGCAGTCACTGCATAATGCGATTAGCCATTTTGCAGCTTTAGGGCATGAAATCAAAAGGGGTATTCATTGCAGAAGTCTGAAATCATTTCTGTGAAGTGTTTCATGAGCTGCCAGCTGCCTAAATTCCTTAATCTCCCCCCCAGTTTTTATGGGTTTGTTATCAGAGCCTCTATGGTGCAGTAAAGACAAGGCGAGAGCACGTATTAAAAAGTATGTACCATCAGCTCTTTCTCTGATTTACTGTGGCTGGAAAAGGACACTTACTGGTGAAATGTGTTGCTGGGGAGCTGGGGTTGCTGGGAGTGGAATCCAGGGTGTCTGAGTAGCAGCTCTCCCCTTCCGAGTCCCAGCCTGAGCAGGCAGAGGAGAGGGAGGAGGGTGAGGAGTAGCATGGGTCCTCATCCACCTCCTCAAACTTCCTCTTGAGAAGCCCACTCATCGTGCTGGTGCGAGCAATCTGCATGAAGGAGCAGAGAGAGGGGTTATTAGCAAATCATTCATACTTATTTAAACAGTGCTGACCATTAAGGACAAAATGAAATTAAAATGAATTAACATTATACGTTGATTGGATGCTATTGTGCATGCGCAGGTTTTTCTGGCACAAGCGAGTCGGGTGCTTGGAGTGCGAGACCGAATCCCAAACTCTTGCTGTTCTCAGCTGAGAGTGGGAGTTCACCGTGTCACAGGAAGCAATCAATCAGGCCCATTCGCACAAGTCAACAATTACTGGACCCCACACCTTCTAAATCCCATCAGCTCAGCAAACGTATTGATTAAAAAAAAAGGCACAAGCCGAGGTGACCAAATCATCCGGCCATAGACATTTCATCTCAACCATTCCCTTTCGACAACCGTCACTATTAAACACGCAGGCAATTTGCCCTTTTTCCTGCTAAATTACCTCACATGGCCCTCAAAGTAAATATGTACAGCTATGCATTGTCAAGATGTTTGGTAATGCTACTTCTGAATGCATTCTTTCAGAGCTCCCATGAGAAGGGCTGCTGGTTCAGCGATAAAAACAATCAATCTACTGAGAAAGACAGGAAGATGGAAAGATAGAGACAAGAGGGGGGACGCCAGTTATGCTATAATACTCCCTGAAATATTGTCTAATATGTGATACCTTCACCAAGTACGAGGTTTGTTGAGATCTTCAAATCTTATTTTAGTCAAGACATAATTCCCCTCGAAGCTCGACCAAATCCACCTCCTGTCTCTGCTTGTACCATGGGAAAAAGAGCAGAGACCACCGACATGAAAAATGTACATGTTTTATGGCTATGGGACATAAATGCGTCACGCTGCTCTGACAAACAACAGACAACGTTCTTCGCAACTTCTGGGAAGCGATGGCGACTGCGAGACGAGACAGGGTCATGGTCGCAGTACATGAGGCCGAGCTCCTGCAAACTCAAACAAGGAGGGACAACAGGGGCGGAGGGAGGAAGGAAGTGAGAGGAGAGGGAAGACAGGACTGGGCTCCACTCCAGCGTAGACACTCCCTACAATGATGTGGAATGGGAAAGGACTTATTCTTTTTTACTTTCCCCATAAAGAGATGATTTCAGCATCAACTGTTTACTGTCCTCAGAGCGGCAGCCAAATGACTTACAGCTGCTGCAGCTTGAGCGTGTTGTGCATGCACTTTAATTTTTGGATATTTTTAGCCGTGTCAGTCCAAATATTTGCGTTGTAATACCTATAATTTTGGAGAAAAAATGTGACACTTTCGGATGCTTTTTAAGCTTAATTTTGGATAAGTAGAGAGTACGGATCTTTAAGTCTAACCCATGCCAATTAGACCGAACATGGCTCAGACACACAGTCAAGCTGCCAACAGGCGAAATTGTCCACTGAATTCACCAGCGGCATGTTGTCAGAGGTCCTTCAATGACTTTAGATGAACTTCATGTGTCACCTGCATGCTTTGTTGGTCTTATCAGGAAGTTATGTAAGAGTCAGCACTCGTAGAAGAGAGAGAGAAAAAACGAAAGCTTGAATGCAAGGGGAAGGAGGGAGGGAGGGAGAGAAGGAAGGAAGGAGGAGGGGGGTGTCATGCAACAGGGAGCAATTATGCAAAACCAGTTCTCCCTTTGACAAGGATAAAGAATAAGTCAGAATCAAGGGCAAGAGGCTGACACCTTTGTGTAGGCAGTGGGGGCAGCGTTGCAGCTGTATGGGGAGTTATTGTTATTGCTGCAGTCAGATATTGCCATCCCCAGTGAGCGTATGATGAATGAATCACCTTGCAATAGGTCAAGCTGCCTCATATGCCGTCTCTGCAACAAACACAAAAGGCTCTCTCTGCACCGTGGCCACCTCGGCGCTTCTTCTGCATGTTTGAGAGAAGCAGTCACTTGAATTCCCCTCCCATCAGCCTACTTAAAAGAAAAAATAATAATAATATCCAAACGCCCTTTACATCAACTAATATTATCACATCATGGGATTGGCCCTGAGAGCGTTTATAAAACACCTGGGTGCAGCATCTGTGGCTCATGTAGACCACATGTGTGTTTGAAACAGCACACCACAGCACATATAGGCTGTGTGTGTGTGTGTGTGTGAGAGAGAGAGAGAGAGAGAGAGAGAGAAGGGGAGCACCAGTGGGTTTCACCTTACATTTTTTGCCATCACTCCCACCTCCAATTCCTTGTAAAAAAAAAAAGAAAAGAAAAAGAAAGCAAAGCTGCGAGGCATCCTCAGGGGAGAGCATAGCGCCAGCTAAGCAAAGTCTTTCTAATTAAAAGCTGCAGTGAGGCAGAAGGGGAAGGAGGGAGGGAGGGATGGAGGGGCAGTGGTGTCAGAAGTGGGTCATTGTCTCTTGACTGCAGTCTACCTGACACATTGATTTGTTAATCCTGTTCAACGGGCAGAAACAATGGTGAGAGGTTAATCCTGGCAAGGGGACGGCTTGTAGTCAATCTGGAGTTTCTCAGCCTGCTCAGCTACGGCACCCACAGAACAAGGCCAGGAGACGCATGCATGGAGCAAGGGACTGAGGGTAAAGAAGACAACAATCGTGCACTGACTCATTTTCAAAAGGGTGGTAAAAAAGAGAGGAATGCAGAGTGTCTGTGAACGTCAGCACTAAACAGGGAATGGATGTGATCGGACAGCCGAGCCAGAGATGGAGCATAGCATGTTTTCAACGCGCACTAAATTATGCATCACTGTCATTCCATCAACCGCACACAGGCAGCAGATAAGGAATGCATCCGCTGAGGTGCTCCCCAGCCAGTTGTCAAAGAGTTGGGAAGATAAATCTGCTACGAGGAGATTTGTCACCAGAAGCACTACACAGCTCAAGCCAGATGCATAACTATGTCAGTCGAATAATATTATCTTGATACATGCAGCTACAGGCTGTTAATAAGACTTCACAATCCCAATTCATTTCTATTTCATCGGCACACAGCTCCTCTAGTCCTTGTTGAGGAAGCTATTTCAAAAAGATGTCTAAAAGCTTGGTTTAATTAATGACTCATTAAGAACATTTGATGCAATAACAGCTTTTAGCATAACTGTTTTATGATTTTACAGTAGACTGATCCATACCTTCATCTTTAGTTTTCCCAGTTTGATAAAAAACAATTGATATTTCCAGGAAAAAACTAAAGAAAAGTCAAAAAGAAAAAAGCTTGTCCCTGGATATGCACGGACAGGAACCAGCAGCCTGTTTGAACTGCCCCTGTCTGCCCCCACAGCCCAACAGGACAAGTCACAGTTGACTTTGCCCCCTCACACTGCCTGTCCAGCCCCTCTGCAGCTGATAACAGAGGAGGGTGGGAGCGACCAGTCACACTAATCTCAGCCAGCTGAGAGCATTTACATGGCACACTGACAACCCATGTGCAGTGTCTGAGTCGAGTGCTCATAAAATGTGATAATGATGAGCCTGGGAGTGTGTGTGTGTGTGTGTGTGTGGAAGCGTGTCTGGGCAGGCCACCCCCTCCTCCTCAGGCTTCAAGGTATTGCACCTCTCACTTCCAGCTCTGTCACTGAGAAGATGGAGGTAATTGATCAGAGTCATCAACGTGACAGTGAGCTGGATTCCAGCTCCTGGCGGCCGAGGGGAAACACTGGCTGCTTTCTTGAGCTCAGCTGTGACTCAGAAGCGCTCCACCTGCTGGGACAAAGCAGGGAGAGCTCCTGCTTTCTCCTCTATGAGCCTGTTGTTCCCACTGAGACCCGACGTCGGCTGAGACCGTGCCACAGAAACATTCTGTTCCACTGCCTCGACCCGTGCACACACACTGATTCCAAAAAGGAGAGGTAGTGGGAAGAAGGAGGGAGAATCGTACAAAACAAATAAATAATGTCATGTCTCCCGGCCGCAGGAATTCCATTCTGGCAGCACCACTCTTGCTGTAATAGTGGGAGAAGAACACAGGCTCTATCAAACCCAGATGTGTTTTCTGCTGCTAACCACTGGAAAGTCCTACTCCCACAAGGCAGCAGAGCCAGCTACCTTTCCGAGCCACACCTGACAGGGTATTAGCTTGCACGTGGACCTCACATGCCCTCAGCTGTCATTAATCTGTTGTGCAGGCCTAACTTGAACAGCCAGTCGATCCCTGCAGGAGTTATACTTTGTATTATTACTGATTTGGGTCCCTTTTCTGACACTGTAGACCAAAAATATGAGTTTCTCTTTAATATTCTGACATATTTGTTTGCATGAGAAAGATACTGAGCAGTAAAGTCTCAAGAAAAACAACCTTTACATCGCAGTGAACACGCAGTAAACATGCAGCTTTACGTGTGCATGTGTGTGCTTTTGTAAGTGTGTGTGTGGAAGAAGGGAGGAGGTAGTTTAAGGTTCAGGGGTCAGGCTCCAGTCTGGGACACTTGCAGCATGGAATGCTGGGAGAGGACAAAGCAGATGGGAGCTCTCTCTCTCTCTCTCTCTCTACTGCCTTGTGGGAGACCGTCAGCAGAGTCCCTGAAACCCCCCCAACCACCCACCAGCCTCCTCCTCCTCCCCGTCTCCGCGCACAAAAGAGTGGGGCCATCCTGCGTGACCAAAATGAAGCAGGCACAGACAACCTTGTCTGAACTCAGCACTATACTGCTGCTGCCTCTCCCAGCTGGGGAGACAGATACTGCAAGTGTGTGTGTGTGAGTGTGTGTGAGAGAGAGAGAGCTTCCTGGGGTTGTGAAACATACACTGCAGTGCACAGGAAGTAGCCATCCAGATTATCTATGCTGTGTCTAACAGCTGCAGGCACCACAAGGTTAGCTGAGTGCAGGATCATATGATGGGGAAGAGGGAGTCAGGGGGTATGGTTGATATTTGTCATGGTTGAAATAACTCCAAATGTTGCACACAGCTCTTTAAGCCATTTAAGATACCATCAATTATTGATTGGCAACAAACTGGTCAATTCTCTTTATTTTTTAGTGGGAACTCTAAAGGTGTAAAATGGAATATTATATAACACAAGGGGAGATAAAGTGTTATTTAACAGCACTGCACACTGCTTGAGGAATGCATGGCACAGGAAAAGCACAGCATCACACCGGCTCTCAGTAAACAAAGGATCATTCAGCTCTGTAGCCTAATTCCAGAAAACATGATTCCAAAAATGATCCGGGTGAGGTCGCGCTAGAGACGAACACACCGATTCAGCCGCTTAGAGGCTAAATACAGTGGCTCTTTAAAAAATAAAAGCCTTGGACTATAATGACAGATTTTTCTATGTATCTGTCCATCAAATCATCACAAACTTATGGTCATGAATGCGCCAAACTGATTGATTATGATAAGTGATTACAGCCTAACACACACATGATGTTATGGGGAATTACACAAACAATAAAGGGGCTCAACAATCCCCCACGCGCACCTGGCTCACCTGCACGAGGTGGAAAAAAAAAATTCAATCGGCCAAAGATCAATTATTAAATCTCGTGCACGTCGTGTGACGGCCACTCCGTCTCTCTTCCATTCTTCCCCTCCTCCTCCTCCTCCTCCTCCCATCATTCCTCGTGATTAATGCTAATTCTAATGACAGCAGCCCTGTCAGCTGTGCGCTCAGATGCAGTGCCTTCAGGAGTCGCTCTCGCTGCAAGAGGCGCACCAGCACCGCGGAGGTGAGCGAGAACAACTCCACACGGGCTGAATACACAAAGCCCGACCTCATCAACAGTTCACACAAACGAATCCACAGCCCGGAGAGGAGGAGAGGGACGGGGGGAGAGCGCACAGAAAATGTGGAGGAGACGACAATTGCGCACGATAAGTTACCACAAACACGCGTAATGAGGGATCGATATTTGATCGATAAGTGAATGGAGCGGATCAGCAAATAATTCCACGTCCGTACCACGATCAGATTGTGATCACCTGCGCGTCACGGAGCCACTTCCCCCGGTTTAAAGTCACTTTTAACGAGCAGCCGGATCCTGTCAATATTTACAATAAAGCGTCAAAGTGTTTTCAGAGAAATACAACCACTGAACAATAAACTGTCTACTGTTATTAATATTATTAGAAATAAATGACGAACACCGAGGAAGGAAACTTGTCCTCGCTCCTGCGCTGAGGTTAAAACCCAGAAATTAGCGAGTGTTCAATAAAAAAAAAGCCCCAGCGAGCAGCCGCGTCAACGCTCCTGTTTTCTGTAAAATACTCACCACCAATTCCAGTATCCGATCACCATGAGGGACAGGACGGCGTCAGGTAAACAGCCGATGGGGTAAAGGTGGAAGTAATCCAAATGGCACGAATAAATAAAGCGCTTATCCCCGCACAGCTCTCGGTGCTATTGTCTGCGTGGTGCTGCCGCCGCACGGGGCTCCGCCGCAGCTGAAGCGCTTCCCTTGTCTGTGGCAGGCGGAGAGAAGCGCAGCCTTTTTCGTCAGTGGAAAACTCCCTCCTGGCGTCTGGTCTGACGCAGGCGGTGACACAGGGAGGCTGCCCACGCCGCTTCCTGCCCGTCCGTCCGTCCTCCTGCCCCACTGCGCCCGCAGGCTACTACACAGCCTCGTAGCTGCGTGACAGAACACGCACGACTTACTGTATTAATAATGGCAATACAAAATATTATTTTTATTAATAATCATAATGTGTATTCACAACTGAACTGAGCCTCTGGTGGTGAGAGTGTGAACATATGTCATGTAGATAGATAGAAAGAAAGAAAGGTGGATAGATAGATAGAAGAGTGGATAGATAGATAGATGGATGGATAGATAGATGGATAAATAGATAGTGAAGTCTCAGATCAATATCATGAAAACTGTGAAATGTCTCAAATCTTCACTTTTAATAATTTCTTTTATAGTTTATTTGTTTATATTTCATACTTTTACTCAAACTATTTTTAAGTATCTTCCCTGAGGCTCTCTTCTACTTGAGCTAACCAGTGAGCAGTGAGGAGCTGTGTCATCACTGGGTGGATATCATTATCTCTGATGATGACGTGGGAGGTGCTGTGGCTTATTTCCAGTTAAAGAAAAGAAACAGACTAAGCTGAAATTATGACTCACTAACCAGTTTGGTTTCAGAGGAAATAAAACAATCAGAGATGCATTTTCAAACTGATTGGTTAACTAGTGTTTAGATTAAAAAACACATGTCTATATGAACTAAAGCAACAAGGAAGACCATGAAATGTGTCTGAAAGATCCAGAAAAAGCCAGTAAATTGATATTGAGTCATGATTCTTCTTCTTCATTCCAATCACAGATGTTCTTCTGTATGTTTGAGGAGTTTTCTTGTGGGAATTGAACTTATATAACTTAAACACAGTGGAATTTACTCTATATACCGAAAACAAAAAACACTGAAGCTCACTGTTGGTACGTTATCATCAAAATAGAATAGAAATAGAAATAAACACTTGTGAGAATGACACTTGCTATTTTACAGGAATTATGCACTGGATTATTTCTTGGCTGCCAGGCGACACCGACGACTGACTACTTTTAGAACAACAAAACCGACTACACTAATTATTCCTGACAGCATGAAGAGGGCTTTGAAACAACATTTATAAAAACCTTTATTTCACAATTTCCTCACAAACTATGAAGTTTGTCTATTTAGAGGAAAAATAGATAGGGGTTTATTTCATCAAGAGTTTTTTCTGCTGTGTTTATGACGTTGAATGAAATGACTGATCTGTTCATAAAAAAGTAAGAGAAAGAATAACTTCAGCTAACTCAATAAATAAAATATGACAAATAAGGAAATAAATGGTGACTGTACGTGTGGAGGGGTTTGGTTTGAGGTAATTTCTAGAATCAGGTCATCAGTTCTAAATCGACTGCTCCAAAGGTCAACAATGAATTTTCACACTGAAGTACATGAGTGATTTCACATCAGGCCTCTAATGATGAAATTCCCCTGTGTTGTAATCACTGATGTGATCGGTCTGTAACGCCTCTTATTAAGCAGCAGCCACCCCCACCCCCCCCCACACACACACACACCCTTCAGTGAACTCCTCTCAGGTATTTACAAGTCTTGCTGCGAGCACTGAGATGCTTTGCTTTCACTCTCGGCCGGACCTGAACGTCGAGGCAAAGTGTCCTGCCAATGTCAATACAGGTGCTTGACTGAGATATTTGGAGAGAGGTCTTGTAAAAGCTGTGTACATAAAACTATGCTAATTGTCTCCTGCTCATAGAGGGGCCTTTTCTCACTAGCCTGTGGAGCCCGAGGGCGTCAGCCACCGAGGCAAAACAAGAACATCAGGCCGAATGACAGCGGCCCCATTATCACTCTAATCAGGCTCGGAGTGTTTCTGTTCTCACATTAGAGCTGTTTTCAGACATGAACTCTGGAAAATGAGTTTGCCTTTCACATATGAAGAACACAGCTGGAGATTGTCCGAGTCAGACGTGTTTACAACAACAGGAAAATCTCTAGAACATTCAGGACAGTGGTGGGGTCTGGGCTGAGCAGGACAAGACGAATACATTGCGCTAGAGAAAAGTGTTTTTGTTCATCGACACTGGCCCTTATCATCAAAAGTTAAGGTCTTTGTCTACTTTGGCGTCTTGTACATGTAGGAAACCTCTTTTGTATCCTAATATGTTTGTATTCGTTTTGTTTTTGTTTCACTTTTGCGTCAGCCTCATAATAGAAACCACTCCGACACGCCACTCCTTGTAAATTTTCCAGGCATTTAACTTCTGTATTCTCAGATAGGCTCAGTCGGATATTTTTCATTTTACCTGGGGGGGTGACAGGAAAAGTTCCAGAAAATGTCTAAATCAATTGAACATTTGTATTCTCACATCCAGCCCCTCTGGAGAATTTCATGAAAATGTCTGAAAGTAGCTTAAATTTCAATGCATAACTTGATAATAAAACAGCACAGCAAGTATATTGATTTACTTGGTGTCAGTTTTGGAGGGGGGAGTTTCACTAGTGGCATAAATTAACATTTAAACAGCTGTGAATGAGTGACAACAATGAGCATGTTAGATAACAGAGATTACTGCTTTATGGTTTCATCAACCTGAAAGGTCCCAACATGATTAAAGAGAAGGTTTTACTAATTACAGTGCCATTATTTTGAAAAAATAATTTCACCTGAGATGAAGAATCCACTCTTAAACTACTTGGAAAACACTTCGCTTCAAGAGGGCAGGGAAATGAAATAAAAAGGTGAAGTAAACAAATAAATGAGCGAGCAAATAAACATTAGAAGGAATTATCTGCCTCAGGAATCTTTGTTGTCATATCTGATCGGGCCACACGCGCTCTGTGTGTGTAATGATACTGTCTCGAGATTTGTTTTTGTTTTCTCGTGTGCACAGTGTGTGATACAGCAGGTGAGGGTGTGTGGTTTGGAAACGCTCCAGTGTGAGCACCGGGAGTCTGTGTGTCCAGACAGGCTCCGCCCGATTAGCTTCCCTGTCGCCCTGGAACTCTTCAAGACACAACAATGAAGCGTCCACGGCCCCGAGGACATAAGTCACATGAGCACCAGCAGCAGTCACAGCCATTAGTGGAGTATTTTGCTCTATATGCAAAAAAAGAGAGAAAAAAACGAAATCCTGGAAAATCAGCAACATTAACAATTAGCCCTCTGTTTGACAAGTCCCTGGGAGCCTGCAGACATTCTTGCACTGGCGCTTCTGTGATTTGCTTCCGAGCAAAACCTTATTATAGTAGCAGCATTGGAAAACATCATATCACTGACACAGGTTCAGCAATGCTGTTCCGAGTGACAGACATTATGTAACTCTTAAATGTGGGTGATTTAAAACCTCGCCATGAGTTCTTGCATTGTTTTGTTGCCTCTTTGATGAAGTGTCCTTCGTGACGTTCACTCAAGATAAACAGGAAATGTCTTGGTGCTGGACTTCATAGTTTTCATGTTGCCTTTTGAAGTTCTGTGTCGGGCTCATCGGTTCCCTCTTTGATAAACAAGGGAAAGTTCCGGGGAACACTGCGACTCACACATGTTAACCTCTCTTCCAAGAAAAAGAGCTCTGTGTGTGTGTGCGTGTGATGGGGGGATGGTAGCCCCAGTGCCAAAGCCACTGTGATTCAGGCCTGAATACATTAGGCCACTCTCTTTAAAAGTGTGCCAAAGAGTTCATGGTGGAAGACGCCCCTCCAAAAGCACAATAATGGGCTTCAATGCTTTCCATCTGCAGAGGGAGAAAGGCCTGTGGCTGCACGTGCTGTGTGGAGCGGGCTCAACAACATATCAATTTATGGCTAAACTCCTCCTAAGGTGAAGACTATGGGCTGTGGGGTGAAACGTCTACATCCACACTTCTACGTTTTACATCCACAAGTTTGGGAGAGCCCCGTTTCAGGTTGAAAACTCTGGGGTTTGCATTTTAGTCTGGACGAGCAACTACAGAGATGTTTGGAAATAATGATGTAGACACTCGTAACTGCTTGGGTCTTTTTAGTCATGACGCAGCCTTTGCTGATTCGTCAGGCTCCTATCACATGACGCCCCTCCAGAAAAAAAACAAGGTTTTATTCAAGCAAATCCTATTTAAATCGGCACACGGAAGCCCAGTGTACATGAGTGGTTTCAGGCATGTTAGCGTGGACAGGGATAAAAACTGATCTCTGTCAACATGAGCAAGATTGCTTTAGTTTGAACACGTAGCATTATGGATGTAGCCAAAGCCTGTGATACATGTACATGACTCAAACCAAGCATTCGCAGCATGAGATTGTCAGCTGAGATTCAAGCTTGTCAAGAAAGTATGAATTCGCAACTGCGCTCGTGTTGGCAGAAGCCGAAGAAGAAGCGGTTGTCCCCCGCAGGAGCAGCACACCAGATGAGACTGTCTGATGTTGTTGTTGTGGTGGTCAGAGCGGAGCAGACGGACACAACAGGGCTCGGGGGGAGCTGATTGATGGCTCCAGCTGTCCCAGAGGAGAGGAACATAGGCGGACAGCTGGTCACCTGTAGCCCCAGACATGACTGTGATATAGAGGCACATGGCATTGTGTTTCACTGCAGAGGGCAGCCAGTGCAACGGTGGGTCCAGGCCCAGCGTCCACCCTGGCGATGAAAACAAGCGACGGTGCTACGGGGGATGAGACTTGAGGAATAAAAGAGCACTTGAGGAAAAAGATTTAGCCGAGGAAAGTGTGCACAAGGTTAATTTAATGGATTCTGAGCAGAAAGAGGAATTAAACACATGTTTTTTTCGGCTATGTTTTATTCCTCATCGTCTCCTACTGACAATACAATCCACTAAATCATTCTGTTTTGACATAGTGTGTGAGATTACTCGGACATGACTACATCGAGAGTAATTGTTGTTTTGACACAAGTTACACGACGGAGAGAGAGACGAGAAGAAAGGAGAAGAGAGGAGATGAGCTCACTCAGGCACAAGGATTAATCCAGAAACAGGGAAAGAAAAAAACCACACACCCTCCCCCCTCTCCCGCAGCTGGTCGGCCAATCAGCACGCAGAGGAGCTGGTTTACTTGGAGACCAAAGAATCT